TGGGCCTCTCTATGAGTTGTGGACCTCGAAATTCTCCTTCCAACAGCGTCACTCCACAGAGCACTTAATTGTAAATAATTGGCACGCCTGTTTTTTACGATTATTCTTCTTAATGCTCTTCGGTCGGCATTTGTGATATTACTTTTTTTCACATATAGTGGCTTAATATTAACTGAACCGGTTAAGTTATATCTTCTAACAATATTTCTCACACTGTACCGCGATAAGTCTAACAAAGTTGCAATTTCTGAGTTTGATTTCCCAGAATTAAAAAAATTAATTATCAGTAACCGAATTTTCTCACTAATAAACTTTCCTCTACCCATTTTGAAAACCTTTACTACCCAAAACTATTTTAAACGTATTCTGACAGCTGTGATTAATAAAATCAATTGTCATGGCTTTTATTTTTCACAGCCACCTATGCGTTATAGACTTATTTTGCATTGAAATGAAAATAGGTTGATATGCTGTAATTGCAACATGTGTTATTTTTATGCTGCAACTTTGATTAGGGAGTGATAAAGTTGGTGTTTTCTACTATATATTATCAAAATATTCATTGTTAATATTTTAAACCTATAACACCCTGCTACATTTTTATTATTTGTGTTTGATAAGAAAAAAACTAAGATTTCAATAGTTGGGCCAACTGAAGTGGCAAGGGCCTCGTATTTATATGAAAAATCTCATTACTATGCATTTGTATATAGCCTCCTGTCATATAATATTCTGTGCTGGGGTAGAGCAACTGGCATAAACAGAGTCTTCGTTTAACAAAAACGTATCAACATTCAATCTCACTTTGAGGGAAACTTGCAGGCATGCCTTTATTGACAACAAACTGCTCACTGTACCTTGTATTTTTATATGGGGTTGTCCAAAACGGACGCAGGAGAGTAAACGCATATTAAAACAAGAAAGATTGATATTCAAATCAAGTTGGGTACTTTATTTTAAAGGTTCATTTATACCATTTATGTATGAAAATAATATCGCTCAAATGTCCACCACGACTGGATTTACAGACGTCCACGCGATGGTCGAAATTTTCAATGACATTTTGCAACATGGTCGGTTCTATGGCATTTATCTCGGCAATGATGTTGTTTTTGAGTTCTTGGAGGGTGGCTGGTTTGTTGATGTAGAACTTTGCTTTTCAAATATCCCCATAAAAAGAAGTCCAAGGGAGTCAAATCGCACGATCTTGGTGGCCATGGCACATTTCCTCTGCGCGAAATCACGCGATCACCGAAGAAGGACTGCAATCGATGGATATTGACGTTGGTTGTGTGGCATGTTGCACCGTCTTGTTGGAAATAAACATCGTCCATATCCATTCTTTCAAGCTGCGGCAAGAAATAGTCCTCTATCATCACGTGATATCGCTCAGAATTGACGGTAACGGCGTCCGCGGGCGCATTTTCTAAAAAGTAAGGTCCGATGATGCCTTTTGACCACAATGCACACCACACAGTCACTTTTTGAGGATGCATCGGCTGCTCTTGATACTCACGGGGATTTTCGTTCGCCCAGATGCGGCAGTTTTGCTTGTTTACCGTCCCATTCAAAGTGAAATGCGCTTCGTCGCTGAACATGATTTTTGATGAAAAATTGGCATCAATTTGGCGGTGTTCAAGGAGCCAATCTGAGAACGCTCGGCGCGAAAAATGGTCGGCCCGACGCAGCTCTTGCGTCAATTGGATCTTGTAGGCGTGTACATTCAAGTCCTCGTGGAGAATGCGGAGCAAACTGGTTCTCGAAATGCCCAATTCTTGGGATCGACGCGTTGTTGATTGTTTCGGATCGTCTCTCATACTCTCCTTCACAACAGCAATATTTTCCGGTGTGCGAACGCTCCTTGGCCGGCCAGAGCCTGGCAGATTTGCCACAGAACCTGTTGCCTCGAATTTACGCACCAGACGACCGATGGTTGTTTCGTTTGGGCGGTTGTTGCGACCGAAATGTTCACGAAGCGCGCGAAACGTGTTTTTTATTTTTGCACCATTTTTGTAGTGCTCTTGAATAACTTTAATGCGGTCTTCAATCGAATACGACTCCATAGCGATCAATGGTAAACATTCAACTAACAAAATGACATGTCGGTGACACACAGACAAAGATGGCGTCTATGTCAAATTGACGTTTACTTTCCTGCGTCCCTATTGGACAACCCTTTATATAAATGTGTAAATCATGTTAAGCGTAACATTAATAACTTCGAGATGCAAAATGAACAGCATGATTATAATACAACAATCACCAAGTTAAAATCAAATCGCTTGAGGACTCTAACTTACACTAGGTCACCGCAGTATATTTTTGTAGCTATGTATAATGTTCTACTTAGAGATTTGAGGGACATTGATATCTACTGTAATTTTAAAAGAATGGTTTTCAATTGTCTAACTGTTGTATGTTTTTATTCTATTGACGCAGTTTTAAATTGTGGATGTTAATACCGCTAAAAAAGATCTTTTTGAATATTGTTTTTTACATAATTTCAATTTTATCAATTATTTTAATGTGTTATTACATACAGTTTCAGAATTTAAATTCATTATTGCATATTTTACTGATATATCTTCGGATGACACATTTTGTTTTTTCTTCCATGTTCATTCTTTTTTGTGACTTGCCATTTGAACCATGTGTTTGTATCTTGGTTGAATAAAATACTACTACTACTATTACTATAATATGAAATTAGTGAAATTATTAATGTGATTCCACAATGGAAATACGTAATGGTAGCATTTGCCACTAATACTTAAAGAGAAACCGGTGCAGAACAAGGAAAGTTACTTGTGAACTGACTTCACGTTTCGCTCTGCATTATCGCGAGTCATTGGCTTGTTGTCTTTTGAGCGCAAGACAAGTGATAGAATCCATAACATATGATACGTTGACGGCTGTGATGTTACCTCAAGACCGGCGGGGTTATTACGTAAAAAATCTGTATAATGTCAAAAAAAAAAAACGACAAAATGTCGACTTGCTGACTAGATAGCTCCTAATGTGTAAATAGTTCATTTCATTCTCGCTCGCTGTGAGGTCTGCGAGCGTCACCCATAGCGTCATCTATGGAGGAATGACTCGACATGATCAACGAGTAAGTTTGCCAGCATGCTTTGTTGGTTGCAGAATGCTGAGGCTTTGAGAATATATGACTTAAAGAAAATTGGTTGTGTAGCAGGGTAGCAAGATTGCATCGGGATGATAGTGTGGTGATTGAGTGCTGCATGTGTATAAAATCAGTGATATTTGGAATGTGAGAAAATTAGTACAGAATATGTTGCCAATGAACTATATCTATTAGCTGTACCAGACGAAGATACTTGTGAAGAGAGGTTCAAAGTTATAAATGACGCCCCCGTTTTCTTTTTGCTTTTTCAAAAGCTTTGAGAAGCATTATGGGAAATCACGATCGTGTCTGGGTTTGTGTAATTAAGCCACACCACAAAAAAATTAGAAATGACGCATCACACAAAAAACATTTTTGCAGTGCTTCACATCTAGGCGCCGATTTGTATTTTCTACTTGAAATCGCAAAATAAATTCCTATAAAATTTCATAAGTATTCCTGTCTGTAGCCTATTTTCTCACCTCTTAGTTGTAATATACTTCACCAACCAGCGATTTTATCAAGAAATCAAGGGAATAATCATCAACATAGATTATTAGCATACAAATCCTCACTATGCTACTATGCACACCCCGTTTCTTCCAGCTATAATATACAACTTACGCTGATGTCACATCATATTAGATCCAAACCATGATAGTTCAGGCATTATGGCGTTTAGGCAACTCGTACAGCCACGCATCGAGTGCACATCAAGTAAACGACAGATAGTTCCAAGTTAACATCTTATTGGAAAACCTTTATAACGTCACAAAAAACCTATACAGGGTGTCCGCAAAGTTGGGGTTTTCCTTTTCAGAAACAACTACCCTTGAAATAACAAAGGTAATGAAACGAGGGCGACAAGTAAAAAAAAATAAAGGAAAAAGTACTCACTCTCCAGTTGACGAGAAGGGCTAAGTACGTCTCTGCCCGAAATCATACCGCTCCAACAGAAAATGAAATCAGCTGATGCGCTACCGAGCAGACGCAGAAACCACATTGATTGTCTTACACTTAATGGCACATCTTCTAAAAAGGAAGGCAAAATGTTGCGTAAAAAGTCTAGGTATTGCATCCCGTCCAATCGATTTGCGAGAATAAATGGTCCAATGAGCATACCGTTTATGCCAGCCCAAACATTCACCGAAAATGTTTGTTGGAAATGTGCCCGACGGACAGCGTGCGGATTTTCTACTGACCAAACATGAGTGTTGCGAAAGTTATTCAACCCATTACGCGTGAACGTAGATTCGTCTGTCACCAATATGCACTTCAAAAAGTCCGGATTATTGTCATGTTGATGCAGCAACCACTCACAAAACCGCACTCTTGCCGGAAAATCGTCAGGTTGAAGGGCTTGTACACGTTGAACGTGAAACGGATACAGACCCTCTTCACGCAGCGTTTGCCACACTTTAGTTTTTGATACTTGCACTTCTCTAGCCACGTCTCTAGTGCTTGTTGAGGGATTATCGTCTACGCGATTACCTCTACACGCGTGACCGTAACCGTCGGTTGAAGGTTGCATACTGACCTGACACACTGACCCCGACCCAGTTCTGTCGTCGGGTTGAGCTAGTGTCCTAGTACCATTCGGGGATGTCGCGGCTACAGGACGGTATTCAGATATTTTTGATGTTGCAAAGCCCTTTATCTCGGTTCCCTTAAGACATTGGTGTATATGGTACTAAGAAAAATTGCTTATGTTTTCAAGATCTACACATCGTGTAAAGGAAAACCCCAATTTTGCGGACCTGTATAATGTCAAAAAAAAACCGACCTAATGTCGCTTTTCAAGATACGTAATATCCCTGCCGTTCGCTTGGAGACTGAAAATAAAGATCCTTGAAAAATAACGTCTTGAAAGTTATAGGTATACGTTACAAGGAATTATATTGGACGAGTAGAATTCTTCCAGATCCTACCAGAACGGTTGTTGTTGACGCTATCGACCAAACTAAAAACAGAAGTATTTCTAACTAACGATGTTATTGTGAGCTCCGGAGATGTTGGTGTCAATATGTACTTCATTCGTTACGGTACGGTGGCGCTCTACACGCCATCAGGGAAAGAGATGTACCATGTGGATGACGGAGCTCATTTTGGAGAAATATCTATTTTGTTCGAAGAAAGAAGGATTGGATCTGCAATTGCGGTAAGGTAGATTCTTGGATAGATGAGGATTTTATCGCTGAACAAGGGCAAAGAATACCTGTTGTCTAGTCCTATTATCTAAGGTAGATGGGCCATGGACCTTTAGAAATAAAATTGTTATTCCATTATTCACTCGTTAAATGGAAATAACAAATTACAAAGTAATACTTTGTATTTTGACCATTTATTGACCACACTATGTACACCTATATGTGAGGTCTTACAAACTAATTTATTATCTATCGGAGTGAAGTCATAGAATCAACGTACTCATCAACTGAATAAACATATTTTCAAAATTATGTTTTTCATTTGCTGTCACTTAACCTTTTTTATACTATTTTAACACATTGGCTGCCATGTGAAACACCGGTGATACACAGGCGCGCTTTGCTCAGAGGCCACGTGACTCACATGTGTTTCACATGCAGTATACTTCTAAATTAGATATATATCCGCTTGGCCTGTGAATTAAGTTTAACTACTTATACTGTGGCATACTGATAATATAAACAACTCATTGAGATACATAACATCACTGGTTGCCTACCTTTGTAGGGTAAATTTACGACTGCACTTTTACTATATTCAGGTTGGTTCTTGTACAGATTTTGCGGTTTATGGGTTATGTTTAATGTTGTGAGAACCTGCAAACTAAGAGGGGTGTTTTAGAAATATAAATTTTAGTAAATCGTGTGTGTGTGTTACAAAGTGGTGTTATAAATATGAGTGATGAACCTTCTACAAGTTCTGGACGACCCAAACGATCTTGTACTGGCAATAGCCAAAATAAAAAGCAAATTTTAACACAAAAGGAACTGCAGGAGATCGCAGATAATTGGGACGATTGGGAAGATTTTTCATCTTCAGGATCAGGTATGTAGTAAAAATACATGTTTGTTGTTGAAATTTTATCTGGGGATGGTTCTCTTTTACAGGCGTATAAATTAACACCTTTTTCATTTATTTATTTATAGAGTATCTAAATTCGGAATCTGATGATGGTAGCAATAGTGCAGGCAGTAGTCTTCCAAGCATTCATAGTTTAGATTGCGATTTAGATGAAGTAGACACTGAAGAGAGCCAAAATGTAAATACTCTACTACAAGATAATGAGGATTGGCATGATGTTGACGGGACATCCTTGCGTTCTGACATTATTTTTTCTGGTGCAGAGCAATACATGTATCATCACGGCATTTACCCTGGTATTAATATATTTTTTTGTCTATTTTTATTTGGTAAAAATATAAAATATTTTTTCAGATGATTCTAACGATCTACGTCCAACTGATGTTTATGAACGTTTCATTGATGACGAGATTCTTGAAATTATCGTTTCAGAAACAAATAGAAACGGCACACAGCTTTTACAAAAGCCAAATATAAGGCGTTCAGCTAGAATAAGACGATGGGTCCCTACAAATAAAAAAGAAATTAAAAAGTTTTTAGGCATAGTCATGTATATGGGCATAGTCAAATATCCTAAAATTCCGGACTATTGGCGAAAAAATAGGCTGTACAATAATACGTTTGTTCCATCAGTGATGAGCAGAAATCGTTTCCAACTTCTGCTAAGAGTACTTGATTTTGCGAATAATGATGCCGCAGATAAAGACAACCGACTTTATAAAGTGGAAGATATTATCAAAAAATTTCAGACCAAATGTTCCAACGAGGCAATTCCAGGGGAAACATTAGCTGTAGATGAGACTATGGTGCCCTTTCGTGGACGCCTAATTTTCCGGCAGTATATACCCAGTAAAGGTCATCGATATGGTATAAAACTATTCAAATTGTGCGATCCAAAAGGCTATACCTACCGATTGTCAGTCTACACCGGCAAAAAATTCGAAGATACAGGTAAAGGAAAAGGACTGGCAGAAAAAGTTGTAATGGACCTTGTTCATGACTACTTGGGAGAAGGAAGGACACTAATAACAGACAATTATTATACTTCATTACCTTTAGCGAAATCATTGTTGGCATCCAAGACTCATCTTCTAGGCATACTAGAAAAAATCGAAAAGGTCTCTCTAAAGAAGTTATGAGTGCACAGCTAAAAAGAGGGGAAATTGTGGAGAAGGAAAACACTACAGGACTCGTTATAGGTAAATGGAAAGACAAAAGGGATGTTCCGTTCTTGAGTACTAAGCACACGCTGGATATAAAGGCTACTGGGAAGAAAAACAGAAAGGGCGAGGAGGTGAAGAAACCTTCTGCCATATTAGAATACAATGCTGGTAAAGATGGTATAGATGTTTCTGATCAAATGGCGAGCTACTTTTCCCCACTCCGCAAAACAATTAGATGGTATCATAAGCTAATGTTTGAAATTCTCCTGAATACGGCTGTCATCAATTCTCTTAATATTTACAAGCACTTCAAAAAACAAAACATACAAGTTGGTGCTTTTAGAGAGATGTTGATTGAGAGCCTCACCCAAGTCCCAAGTGTCCCAGTAAATGAAGATAAACATAGTCTGATCAGTACAGAAGAAAGAACAGCAGACGGGAGAAAGAAAAGGAAGAGATGCATTTCATGTTATGAGAAAAAGGCCAGAGAAGGAGGTCGAGTTGTGGGAATGAAACAAGCTAAATTGATCTCTACCAAGTGCGGGCAATGCAATATTCATCTATGTTTTACTTGTTTCACTGAAAAACATTAGTTTTATTTCCTGTTTCTTCTGTGATCACCGGTGATACAGATGGCACTGGAGAAATACCGATTAACCTAGATGCCATGTGTATCACCGGTGATTTTATTTTTTTTGCAGAAAAAAACATTTTTTTTGAGTTGTTTATATGTTTTTTATGTCAATAAAGTTTTCGTAACGATGCTTTTGCGATAATTTAGGTTTGGCCCCTAATAAATGAAAATGACCCCTTATGGAGGCAGCCAAAGTGTTAATCACTTACTAGTAATTTGAATTTCTCTTTATTAATTGTAGAGTGCCGATTCCTAGGCCAAACCCTTTTTAATGATCTTCTTTTGGCAAATTTGATAGTTTATTGATTGTAGGTTATAATTTAAATGACCTTCAGTTTTGCAGCTACAAGGCAGCTACAAAACAAAGCTGGAGGAGTGTGAGTGTTCTCCGCAATACTCTCACACGCTAAAGGCCAAAATCCCGTGAGAACCTGGACGGGCTAGCACCCAAACCAAAACAACTAAACTCCAGGTACAAAATAAAAGGGTGCTATTCCATAAGCTGGTATTTGGGGGTCTGCTATCCCAGAATCTGGAAGATAACGAAACGATGGCCCCACCACAATCTCCGCAGAACACCTAACTTTTTGAAAGAAGGTTAAATGAGTGGCTTTGAAGAAGTTATGTTCGATGGGAAACCAAAAGGAACGGATAGAAACCGGTAAAGAGGGTATCTTGATAGGAAACCAGATATTCTTATATAGGTTAGTACCTACAGAAACCACAGAGTGGCGCTGACTGCCAATGGGCTGAACCAACTCTACGAGGGACCAACGATATTTTATGGGGAAATTTCTCAGATAGTCGTTAATAAAATACTATAACATTAGTGTCCAAAAGATTTCAACACAATACTGAGTCGCTGAGAAAGCAAAATATAATACGTGTGAAATTATACAATCAATCAATTATGAAATTTGCCAAAAGAAAATCATTAATAAGGGTTTGGCCTAGGAATCGGCACTCTACCATTCAAACTACTAGCAAGTGATCAAAATAGAAAAAGAGGTTACGTGATTTTGGCACGTTACATTGCATTGTCCGATAAATTATATAATTTGACGTTAGGTCTATTTATTTTAGTCATAGCAGTCGTGAGTATGGATTCTTTAGGTAATTAACATGAAACTTCAAAGGACTTCAAGTTTAAACTGATCAAAGTGTAAATGTACTATTTGTAGATTTTTGAAGCGATTTCTGCACGTCGATCCATAACTGGAACTTGTAATTATCATCAAAACCGGTATTTGTTAAATGAACATTTTTGTAGACGTTACTGAGTTTCCCCAGAGCACTATGCCATATGTTATGTGACTAAGGAATTTGCTGAAGTAAACTACCGGTAAAGTATGGTTACGAGGGATGTCTTTTAAGTTTTGTAAATAGAAACATAGTAGGCCGCGCGGATCGAAAGTCAGTACTGAATCTTAACCTCACTCTTTAGTAAACTTAAACTCAAAGTTTCACAACAATACGTGCAGTGTTCTCACTACAGTGAATTTTTAATTGTCACCAAGTCATTAGAAAAATGGAACTCAACCGAGAACATTTTCGCGCCATGATTTATTACAACTTTCAGAGACAATTATCGCAACAAGAATGCCTTGCTGAGTTACTGTCTGTTTTCGGCAACGAAGCGTCACATCAGTCGAGAATTTCCCTTAGGTATGGAGAATTTAAACGTGGACGGGTGACTCTTAGCGACAATCCCAGGGTGGGTGCACCAAAAACGGCATTCACCAAGAAAACGTCGATGCTGTGCGCAAACTCATCATTGAAGATAGACATGTGACATATCGTGAGATTGAGGCGTCCTTGAAGATCTCAAAGACCTCGATTCAAAAAATTTTACATGAAGAACCAGGAGTAAGATAAAATTAGATGGATACCCCACCTGTTAACTGAAGAGCAGAAAGCAGCCAGGGTTAATTGGTGTCAAAAAACGCTTGACCGTTTCAATTCCGGAAACTCAAAAAATGTGTACAGCATTGTTAGTGGTGATGAATCGTGGATTTACTGTTATGAACTAGAAAATAAACGTCAGTCGGCTGTTTGAGTGTTCCAAGGTGAAGAAAAGCCAACAAAAGTCATCCGTTGTCGAAGTGTTTCGAAAAAGATGGTCGCGACACTTGTGTCAAAAGCGGGTCATATTGCAACAATTCCTCTTAATGAGCAAAGAACTGTTACTGCGGATTGGTATACCACCATTTGTTTACCAAAAGTCATCACTGAGCTTCAAAAAATCAAGCCCGAAAGAAGAATCATCCTCCACCAAGACAATGCCAGCTCGCACACAGCCCAAAAAACAAGGCAGCATTTAACGGAAGAAAACGTGGAATTATTGGACCATCCTCCATATAGTCCCGGTCTAAGTCCTAACGATTCCTTTACTTTCCCGAAAATTAAAAACAGACTGCGTGGTCATAGGTTCCAGTCACCAGAAGAAGCAGTTGACGCATTCAAAAATGCCGTTTTGGATCTGCCAGCAAACGAGTAGAATAAGTGTTTCGAAAATTGGTTCGAGCGCATGTTTTATTTCCATATGCAAAACTTAAAAGACATCCCTCGTACCGAGGCATCTACTTAGCTGGCTAAGAACCCATAATTGTATAGACAATCAAGATTGTAAATAAGGGACCTCGGCTGGCCGGGTGGGTCAGAGTGTCGTGCTACTGATCAGCCGGCCGGCCGGGCCGCGAGTTCGAATCTCGCCTTCGGAAATTACATTCCGAAGTCATGGTTGTTGTGGCGTCATGTGTTAATACATATTTATAACCAACCTAGTTTATGGCTGCATGGCCTGGTCCTAAAACCAAAAAAAAAAGATTGTAAATAATCAACGGGGGGTCCACGGTCTATTTACTTTATTATTTAAGTAAAACATAAAGATCTTAAGTAATAATGTGGCATTTGGGTGCGAAAATTTTGTTACGGATGTCCTGATAATAAGCTACTTAGTAAAAACTGAGCTGCCTTACATTTTTTATGTTTTTATCAATAACCGGTATAATAAGCCACTTTTTTTAATATTTGTTATTCGGCCGAATATCGAATAAGAAATTATGGGAAAAAGTGATACATATTACCTTAAAATTAATATTTTTTATCAAACGTCACAATTATTACTTAAAATGTATCAGTGATAAATGAAAACAATATTTTTTCAGTAGTTGTTGATAGCAACTGTTTCCTCTTTTACTCATAAACTACACCGAGCAATGGTAGGTCATTTTTTGAGAATTTTTATTAGTTTTGGATATTGGTCTACGTTTGCCGACCAGATAGAAATTAGCTTCATTTGCAATAGCACTTTTATTTTCCACATCACCATCTTTTTCCGGATTCTCTATAGCGACTTCCTCAAAATAACTTTAGAAACTGTCGTGTATGGTTTTGTCATTTCCATTTACTTTTTTTCATTTCTTGTCTTGGCCATCGGACAATAAATGCCTGAGCAGGCAGCGTCAGGCAAATTAATCAAGGATGGAGTGATTATATTTTTTTAACACGTAGTAAATCAAGGCTGAACAAGGTATACAAAAGAAAATCGTCGCTGACTATTCGGAGGCCAACTATTCTATCTGTAGTGTCTATTGTACCTTACTTCCAATATATTATATCTTTCAGGCGACGCCATGTGAAGTGTTTGTTTTGAGCAAAACAGATTTCAAAGATCTTTTAACCCCTTATCCAGAAATCGAACAGCAGATCAAAGCTGTTGCTCTCGATAGATGTATGGTCCTCAACAGGGTAGTCTATGATAGAATCAAAGACAACTTGATGGAACGATGAAGCATACTGTGTTTAGATGTTATGAAATATTTTTTGTAATGTTATCTTCTTTAGTAGTTTTGGACTGTTCTTATTGACATTCCTTTTATTTTGTAGACATGTAGATCTGACAAACTCTGTTTAGCCGATTGCCTAAGAAGGAGGGTTATGTTTTTTGCGCGTCGGTATGTATGTGGACAAAAAGTTCTATTTCACGGATCAGATTCTAAATGGATCAGCAGTGAAAGTGACACTAGGTATACTAAAAAGTAAAAAAGCGAATACCAATAAAAATTTTCACATTTTTATTACTCTATTAAACAAAAATTGCGAATTTCTAATCGAAAATTTCAATCTTGATAATGTCGTTTCCTGTTTGTTACCAGGACCATCTACTTATTTCATAGAATGTGTCTCTAGATTTGTCTTTACAGTGCGAGTGGCACTGGATTTACTGAAATTTTATAAAAAGCGGATTTAATCTTAAATTTAAACCTTGAAATTCATATTTCACGGGCCTCAGCTTAAAACAATTTTTTTTCGCAAGCTACAAAACGAGTTCACAACAAGTGTACAACAGCTTGTGCTAAGTTAACATTAAAACTTATGTTGTGGCACAAAAAACCTCCGAGATGTCAAAAAACGACAAACTGTCAAATTGCTTTGGACGGACTTAGATATTCTTTTGTCAATGTCAGGGGCATTTTAAGTGAATCTGGGTGGATTTTAGAGGTGTAAATTGTACGTAGAGAAACACAACGAAGCCTCTGGGGTCTAAGGGAATACAAGATTGTCAAAGCTGTTGTGAAGTTTTGATGTATAAATTGGAGCTAGTTTTGTCACCAGACCCTCATTTCTCAGGGTAATATCAGTTGGAAATTAAATAAGCATGGTCTCCAATACCGATTATAAATGTTCTTCAGAATTCTATATTATATGAACGAATTGAGGAAAGTCGAGCATCACAATTCTTTTTAAAGGATGATAAGTATCAAACCAAACAAGATGACTTCGTCCGTCATGTCCGACATGTGTTTTGTTGCACCTATAACAATAAAACAGCGGCAGGCAGCAGCGGTGGCCGCAGTAGTAGACTCTTCGGTCTCCTGATCAGTCGCCGTGCGCTGTGCGGGTTGGAATCCCGTCCCAGGAGAAACTTTTCTCTTGGCTATGGATGTTGTGATTGTCCGTAGGTGTTGGACGGTCTCTGACTGTCGAACGCGGAGGTACCACCCGGCGGATCTCGTAGGCGGAGCCAGAATGTGTGCATGTTGCATGCACACGTGTTCCCTCGCCAGAGTCCGTGTGGCGTCCCCCTCTTTCCCTTGTATCCCCCTATATAGCCACTGGGTACCCAATGGGTGCTTAGGCCTTAGGCCTTCGTGGTAGTTGGAGTATAAAAAAAATAAGTAACAAATAAATAAGCAATATACCTACATGTAATTACTAATTATATGCCCATTATTTTATCTTAATAACGTAATGTATTCAACCGTACATTGGCCACCGGGAGATTTATGTTTTTGTAGGCAGGTTGACGTTATAAGAGTAATCTTAAATATAATTGGAATCAATATTATGTACTTGAAGTTCGTCGTTTCAAAATTATTTCGCCACGTTGGTTTGATTGTGATGTGGTAAAAAAGTCTCACTGGCCGATTTCTGAACGCGTCTCCACTCAATCAACATTTTAGTAAATTAAATAAAAATGATAACTGAAGTTAGTAGATACACAAACTTACGTTTTAATAGTGAGACACCATAATTTGACATACTCAAACAGATTTCTCAACAAGGTCTGGTAGGTACACAATAGTCTTCTAAGTGGTGAATGTTAAGCGGAGCGCGGCAGGGGTGCTCGCGGATTTCATGTTGCGACTTGTCGAAACTTGCATAAACTGCGATTGACGACGCCAGGTTTTGAAACAGCGGTTGACAGAATAAGTGAATATGATATTTAATTTCTAATTTTATGCGTGTAAATTAAACATTACATTGTAATGTTATTTGTCAATGTTGTTTGTTTATCTTTTTGTTTTTTCTTTCTAAAATGCAAACGCTTGCCGCCCCCCTTAAGATTTCTCTATGTCCTCCTTGGGAGGCTCGCCCCTTTGGTTGCGAACTTCTGTTCTATGCCATAGGTACGGTCTATCGAAATAAAACAGTGCAAAGCGCCATCTATCACACCAGAACCGACTACTGCGGAAAGCGCATGGATGCTGTTAGGGATCTTAGCTCGCGTGTAATAACAAGTCGCCGCGAGCTGAGATCCCTAACAGTTCCAGCATAGTCCGATTCTCGGAGACCTTTATAAAATCGCTTGTACCCTTATTAACTGATACCATAGTCTTATTATTATACATGCATTAGCGCTTTAGCTGATAGTACACTTTTTCTTTCGCCTTCCAAATCAAAATGACCTCAACATAATCTTGTAAAGGTCATCATCAAAGAAAACAAAACAACCACAACTTCTTCATGCCCTTCCGTAGCGAACTGTCTACTTGAGTAGATTTTTCTCGAACAACTGTTGCCAGATCCATTTCAGTGTCAATGCGTGAAAGTAAGCTTGTCCTTAAATTGATCTTGTAAGGATCAGGGCCAAAACCAACCAACACTTTATTCAGTATCACAACTCTCTGGGTATTTTTGGTTTGAGAACTACACTTGCACATTCACCACTTTTGCAAATCGGACAAACTTGCTCCGCGTATTCTTAGATCCAACTGTGCAGGAGAGCAAGAAATATACTAAGTGACATATAAATCCGAACACCCAGTTTAAATGGTTTTATTTTAATAAAAGTTGGTGAATGTATTTATCTTAGTGTAAGTAACAAGTGAAAAAATTTTCAGCCTTATCAGTTGGACATTCCGGTTTTTATACTGCTTTTTTTAATTCACTAACGCACTAAAAATGAATATTTCAGCCGCAGTAAAGAATCAACGTTGACGGATTTTGGTTCTTGGCATCCTTTACGATCGGTTACGAGGCCTAGAGTACGGAGACCTGTACGATTTCGTCAACTTAGTGAGTTTGATAGGGGCCGTATAGTGGGACTTCGGGAAGCTGGACTTTCTTTTCGGGCAATTGCAGTTAAAGCGCAAAGAAGTGTAGACACTGTGGTTAGGTGTTGTCAGGCATGGCTTCGAGAAGGCCGTACGCAAAGAGCAAGGGGCACTGGACGCCGCCGTAGAACAACAGACCGTGAAGATCGCCGCCTAAGATTATTGGACATAAGGGACCGTTTCTCCACTACCAGGTCCATTGCAAATGAATGGTTTGCAGAACACGGAAGACCTATTGGCATGCGAAGTGTTTAATGACGAATGAGAAGTTTTGGCTTGTTTTCATACCGGCCACACTGGGTCCTCCCTTTAACTCGAGAACACCGACGTAATCGCCTTGAGTGGTGCAGACAACGGTCACTCTGGGATCAGGAATGGAACAGTATTGTCTTTAGTGACGAGTCTCGATTTTGTTTAGGCATGCACGATGGTCGTGCCAGGGTTAGAAGGCGACGTGGTGAAAGGAGGAATCCACAGTTTTTTGTTGAAAGACATGTTCATCACACTGCTGGAGTGATGGTTTGGGGTGCTATAGCTTATGGTTCCAGGTCATCTTTAATCTTCATCAGAGGTAACATGAACGCGCAGCGTTATATCCACGAAGTTCTAGAACCCCATCTTTTACCCTATCTTGACACCCTAGCAGATCCAACTTTCCAACAAGATAATGCCCGACCACATGTTGCAAGAGTCACAATAGACTTCTTTCAACATAATGATGTCACATTATTACCATGGCCACCAAGATCTCCCGATTTATCCCCAATTGAGCACGTGTGGGATATGATGGGTAGGAGATTGCTCAATTTGCAACGTCCTCCTCAGACTCTAGAAGCACTTCGAGAGGAGTTGGTGGTTGCCTGGAATAAGATACCACAGGAGAACATTGACCATCTGATCAGAAGCATGCCTAGGCGCGTTGGAGAATGCGTAGCACATCAGGGTGCATCCACACATTATTAAAGGTCAAAGGGCTTTAAAGCAGTGCAATCATTTTGAAATTTTTATCATTTACTTATTATGCTTCATTAAGTACTTATACAAAATTTTATTAAAATAAAACCATTTAAACTGGGTGTTCGGATTTATATGTCACTTAGTATATATCATACTCATTTTTGAGACAAATTGACCATATCATTGTACGGAGTCCTTTCTATTTCTATCTATCTTAATTGGACAGTTCTTTCCACTGACTGCAGTCGGGTTGTTTGTATTTTTTCAAAACGTACTTAAAAATACGGAAGATGGGATACTAATAAAGCAATTGATCAGGGAGTAATTCCTTGAGTGATTCTAAGAAGAAAGTATAAATACAATTCTGGCATTGAGTCGTTTTCAAGCTACTTGATGCCATACTTTCCTGAAAATGCGTTTTCTCATCAAAATCGTGATATCCATTCAGCTGGTTTTGTTAATAGATAAATATAATCTGTTTGCTTTCCGTCATAACCAAAAGTATGCAAAAATGTTCAATGCTTTTCAGCAATCATTGGAACGGAATAGGTCTTGTTATTTGGAGCCAGATGAAGGGAAAATTTCAGACTTGGGCGCGTATACCGATGACTGCTAATAAGTATAACACAGTGTACAGTTGGTTACGGTCGCAGAGAACTATATGCTTAAGCAATGAACAAATGAAGCAGATTACTACTTTTCTCTTAATAAATAAGAGAATGACGACACGCCATTGAATGTGAAACAGGTTGAAATTTGTGATCTAAACGTTTCTGCAAAGTATCTATGCTATTTTTAAAGATATTCAAATTATTTTCCACCCTTATGTGATGAGGTATTTTATTAAAACATTTTATACACGGGTTAGTAGGGCGCGGTAAGCCTGTGTCGAGAATAAATGAGCCATTGTATGCTAAATTGTTTTCTGTTTTTAAACAAAAATAGGGGACACTCAAAAACATAAATACCTAGCACAGTGGGAATATTCATCACCTTAAACCTTCCTCTGTAAATTTGTCTATTGCGCAGAGATAGCATAGTGCGCACTGGTCCTTTTGTGCACCGAAAGCCCGTCCAGAGCCGCTGCATTCTCCCAAAAATATTATTCCATATCTGAGGATGGAATAAATGTTTGCGTATCTTGAGATGTTCAGTGCCTAGACATAATTCTAAGAAAATGACCCCTTGTTCAGAAATTCATAAGATCCTCCCAATCCAAATTCTGGTCAATGTGAATACCCAGGAACCTTGTAATTCGATCTAGGTGCTGGTTTTCGTCGTTG